CGCACGCGACGACCCGAGCGCCTTGTTGCCGTGCCTGCAAGGCATCAAGTCCTTCCTCGTCATTTGCTTGATCTTCATGGGATCGACTCTCGTGCGCACGGGGCCCTCGCCCTCGTTGTAAGCACGCGGGTACTGCTTGATGAAGTCCGCTGGGTCCAAAGGGAACTCCATCAAGGTTCTCTGCCCTGGGGTGATCAGCCTCTTGGCGGCCACCTTCGTTTTGAAGTTGTGCAGCTCGCTGTAGGCCTCGCTTGGCTGAAGCGAGCGGCCGTGGCAGTGCGCCAGGATCGCGACTGCGTCCTTGGCGGTGCCGTCCGAAACGTTGCGGACCCCAATCTGGATGAGGAAATCTGCCATCATTTCCTTCTTATCTTCCCATGCGTTGTCCTTGTGCATGATAAACTCCCAAAGCTTCTCTGGTAAATAATGGACGAGGTGCGAATGTGTCTGGGTCTGCGCGGCAGTCGAGCTCGACTTCCCACCCGAGCCTGCCATTCGCAGCGAGACGCCCTTGGCCATCGCCACGCGCTGGTCCTCTGTGAACTCATCACAGGCTTCGCCGAGAGCCGACAGCACCCGTGCGCTGTCCTCGATGTCCTGGGGCAACGTCTTCACGGTCTCCAGGAAGTGCGTCGTCCGAGACTGCTGCGAATCCTGGGAAGGAGGGGGGGGGGTCGCGAGGAGGGCGAGGGGCGCGCCTAATCGAAAACGAAACTGTGGTTCGCTGCCCACGACGGCCAACACCGACAACGAAGCATGTTGATTACGACAAGCGCACATTCAACATGACGGCCGGCTGCGGAAGCCTGCGCCTCTCGACGCCGCTCGTCAGGAGGGGGTGGTGGGGTTGCATGGGTTGGTGGGTTTGGAGGGTTGGTGGGGTTGGAGGGGCTGGTGGGGTAGGAGGGTTGGTGGGGCTGGAGGGTTGGCGGGATTGGAGGGTTGGTGGGGTTGGAGGGGGATGGGGTTGGTTGGGTTGGAGGGTTGGGTTGGCGGGGTTGGAGGGTTGGCGGGGTTGGAGGGCTGGTAGTGTTGGAAGGGTTTGTGGCGTTGGAGGGTTGGTGTGGTTGGAAGGGGCTAGTGGGTCTGGAAGGGTTGGAGGGGTTGGTGGGGTTGGAGGGTTGGTGGGGTTGGTGGGGTTGGAGCGTCTGGAGGGTTGGTGGGTTGGAGGGTTGGTGGGCATGGAGGGTTGGTGGGGTTGGAGGGGTTGGTGGGGTTGGAGGGGTTGGTGGGGTTGTAGGGGTGGGTGGGGCTGGTGGGTTGGAGGGGTTGGTGGAGTTGGAGGGTGGGTGGGGTTGGAGGGCTGGTGAAGTTGGAGGGGCTGGTGGGGCTGGAGGGGTTGGTTGGGTTGAAAGGTTTGTGGGG